AATCACAGAGTCTGTTCTGTGTTTTACTCTGAGTCCACCTGAAGCAGGTGAAGGTGTCTGACTGTGACTCACCTGACGCTGGTTGTGTCTCCACAGCTCTCACCGGGCGTCTCATCGTCTCCGTCCGTCGGCGTCTCCGGCCTCCTGACCAGGATCAGGGTTTTCTACGAGCTGCACGCCAACAGCAGCTGCAGGTGAGGCGCTGAACTCTGTCAGCTGATTGGTCAGAACTCGATCACACACTGACGCTTCCTGTTTCCTGCAGGACCGACGAGGAACCGACCAATGAGCAGCCAGCTCTGACTTCCTCCCAGGACGGAGGTGAGACGCCGAGGATTATTATTATTATTATTATTGCTATAAATAAATGTGTATAATTGTTAGTATTATAAATCTATTCTATTAAAACATTAGAACATATTAATTTTATTTTTAATGTTATTGTGTGATATAAACAACATCTTTATAATAATTTTTTTTTAAAATACATATGAAAATATTGTTATTATTTATGAATATAATGAATCATGTTACATTTTATTATTACTGTTAACTATGATATTAATATTAAATATTCATTTAATTATTGCTGTTATATTTTATTTTACTATCATAAGAAATACTAATATTATTGACCATTAATATTATAAACTGTTGTTGCTCTGACATCATGGAGAGTTTTTAGTTATTAGATTATTAACGTGACAGAAATGATTCGTTTCATAAATGTTTCAGTGTTCAAGTTTTTCATTTAGTAGAAAACGGCGCCACCTGCTGCTCACTTTGGGTTTTATGACATAATATATATTCTAATACTGCCAGTACTACTAGTGCTACTAATAATGATAATAAACGTTATTTCTTTTGCACTGTTTAAAACTGGAGCTACACGGTGAACATAAAATCCACGAAGCTTCAAAACGCAACAATAAAAGATTAAAATAAAACCGTAAAACCTTTAAATATAATAGAAATGTTTGGTTTTAAAAGCGTTTTGAACCGAATCAGTTTAATATCAGGACTCAGCAGAAACAGGTTCATTTGTTTGTTGAGTTTCAACATAAACAGAAAACTGACCGATGAGAAAAATAAAACATGTGACTGTTAACAGCTCAGAAATTCTTAAACTTTTTTCATGATCTTATCTTTCAGCACTTTTCTGTGTTTAATTAGAAGTTTTTTTCTCTGTAGATCATTTGTTGCTTCATGAGTTTTGTTATTATTATTGTTCCCTGTTGGCCACATAAACCACAAAGAGAGACGAAAACAACGGAGAAAAACACTGAAACAGGAAACAGGATGTGGAAACATCAGGCAGAGTATGTGTGTATAACAGGAAGAGTGTTTAGATGGTCACCTGTCAGACGGTCCTTGAACGCATCGCCTCTCACCAGTGGTTCCATCAAGAAGAAGAATCTGAGCATAAAGTTCCACTAAAGTGACTTTATTCTGCAAGTTTCATCCGACGTTAATGATCCAAAAATAAAAGCAAAACCTCACTGTGGCCACCAGAGAGACGTTCAGAGTTGAGCTGCAGCCAGTTACACAAAACTGATCATTAAAGAGACGGAAAACCACCAAATATGAAGCAAAGCGACCACAAAAAGACGAGTTAAACGACCACAGAGAGTCGTCTAACAGTGAAAGCTGCTCAGAGGAGACGACTGACAGGAAAACCCAACCGACTGGAAACCTGAAGACAAATGTTCAGTTGTGTTTGTCTTGTGTCTCTTTCTGATCATTTTGTTGGTTTTTCTGGTTGGTTTTTGTTGTTTTGTGTCTCTTTGTGCTTGTTTTGTTGATTTTTATGGTTGTTTTTATGGTCATTGGATGTTCTGTGTTACGCTCTGGCTGTTTGTGTCCCTTTGTGATTGTTTTGCGTCTCCTTTCTGTCCCTTGGTGACCGGTTCTCCGGGTTCTCCGGGTTCTCCGGTGGTTCCAGGTTCCTGTGTGGACCCCCGCCTCAGGCAGATCTACACGGACCCCGCCCTCACCTTGACTCCGCCCTTCAGCCCTCAGGTCAAAGAGTATCGCGCTGAGGTGACCTTTGACACAGTGACCATCAGAATCCGTCCGGAACCGATGAGCTCCAGCTGCAGGGTTCACCTGGACGAGCACCGCGGACCCAGGTGAGACCAGAACCCGGCCAGACCTCAGACCTCTGACCTCTCAGACCTCTCTCTCATCTTCATCTCCGTTTCCTCCCTCCAGGATGGCGAACTTCCCGGTCGGCCTCGGCAACAGCAGGATCAGCATCCTGGTGACGGACGGCGCCGGGCCGGAGCCAGTCGTCATGACGATCTACACCGTCCACGTGTTCCGGGAGAGCCGGCCCAGTCTGCCCATGTTCGGAGATCACGTGATGTGCAGCTTCCTGCAGGTCGGTAACCCGCCTGTAAGACGACGCTCAGGGTTTAGGTTACAGTCGGCTGATCCGATAATCGATCAGCTGATTGATTAGGTGGTTCTTTGAGACCTGCTTTGTTCTTAGAGGTTCTTTGCTGATGGATCAATAAGTGAGTAGAACAAGATCTTGTTATCTTCTCGTTATAATCTGGTCATTATCTCGTTATGTTTTTAAGTCGTTCTGGTGTCATACTTGTGGTTTTAGGATCTTAATGATCAGATGATTGGTTTGATCCAGTAATCGATCAGGTCTTTAAAGTTCCTGTGACTAATTGTCTTTGTTGAGTTCTGATGGAGGAACCAACGTATCCACGGAACTCAGTGATTCCAGTCGGTTCCCTTCAGGTTCGTTTGGTTTGGTTCTATCTGATGTTGGGTTCCAGGTCAGGAACCCTCTGAGAACCGAGCGGCTCGTCGGTTCTCGTGTAGTTTCAGGTTCTCCTTTAGATTCTCCTCAAAGCTCCACGAGTCTGATTTCATGGAGCTGTTGTGCTCAGAGCAGGAAGATGTTCTGTTGAAGTTCTAAAAGTAAAGCGCTGCAGCGTTCTGAGAAGATCCACACGACACTCAGTGGAACTTCTCTTTTCTTTCACAAGAACTGGAACCCTGAGATTCTACAGGTTCTGCATTTAGATATTAGAACTTGTCTTTACGGTCCTGATGGTTCTGCAGTTTGAACGTCTTACGATGGCGTTAAAGTCTCGGAATCTCCTTGTGTTGATCTTATACGTGGTTACGATCTCGTTACGATCTCGTTATAATCTCGTTGTCTTCTCGTTGTGATCCTTTTGTGGTCTTGTTATCTTTCTGTGTTGAGCTGTTTGTAATCTCATTATAATCTCGTTATGATCTCCTAACTTTTCATGTTGAACTCGTTACGTTCTCGTCTTAATCTCGTTATAATCTCGTTATCGTGAGCTGAAGCCTTCTAAACAGGAAACAGAACTTTCTTCCGTCTCCTTCTCGCTACGATCTCCTGATTTACGAGCTCAGCAGCTTCTAAACGTGTCCCGTCCTGTTTTGTTGTCGCTCCGATCTTGTTTCTGTGATCTCATTACGAGCTCAGCAGCTTCTCGTTATCGCCTCGTTCTCGTCTCGTTATCTCCTCGCTCTGATCTTCCCTCCATCTTCTGTCGCCTATGAGCTCATCCTGATCTGATCGGCTGCTCTCTGGGCTCCGTCTGAGGAGCAGCAGCTTCACACGGATCTAATTCCTTCCTTCTGTTCGCTCGCAGCTGTTTCAAATCGAGGCTTCGCAGTTTTTCTTTGTGTGGAAGCGTCTCGTCCTGAGAAAGATGCTGAATGCGAGGTTTTGTGTGATGGGATGTTTCCCTCGGCGGGACAGATGTGGACGCCGTGTTTTCATGGCCAGAAAGAACAAATGAATATTTTCCAACCAGCGAGAAACACAACAAACACGTCTGACTGCGAACCAGCTGCAGGCGTCCTGCAAAGAAAACAAAAGAAAGTTTGTCCACGTTTCTGTTTTCCAGAGAATTCAGTCGACGACTGCAACGAGTAGCGTTAGAGAAACGTTCCTTCAGCGTTTTAAAAAGCTGCTCTGAAGGTCTGAGGAGCTACTAAACACCTGAAGCTCCTGGTTTCAGGTTCAGGTTCTCCTACGTCACAACCCCAAAGAATAACGAGGCAGAAAACGACAAAAACAAGGCGGAAAAATGAGACGAAACAACCACAAAGAGACACGAAGCAAATAAAACGAGACAGAGAGGAGACGAGACGTCCCAGTGAGACAGAAATCCAGACAAACGCCAGAGAAACGGGACGCAAACGGGACGAACAACCCGGACAATGTGGAAGAATTAGACGTAAATCTAGAATAAACTGATCCAAAACAACACAAACTGGATAAAAAACAAGAAAAGTGAGACACATACCGACCAAAATGAAACCAACCCGCCATAAAGAGACATAAATGAGACACTAAACTGCTGCCGAGACCCACAGAACAGGAGAAACGAGGCCTGGAACAACAGAACCACGATGGAACCGTCCTGGAGGTGGTTCAGGCTGTGAACTGGGTTGATGAAGCGGTGACCAGGAGGAGGAGCCGTCTGGAGCTCTGAGGGTTAAAACAGATGAAGCTTTTCTAACAGATCCAAACACATCAGAACTAGACCCGTGACTGAGCAGAACCTGAGCCCTTTAGCCCGTCTGTGTGCAGAACACAAACAGGCCGGAGAGGTTCTGTGCAGCTCTGAGCCGGTTCCTAAACAGTCAGAGATCTTGTGCTTCTGGTCGGCCGGCGGCTCTGTTGACGGAGGGATTCCTCTGGAGTCACATGGGCTGAGTTCAGCACCAGTAGATCCAGTGGGCCGGTCCACTCCACATATTTTATGTGTTGACACATATTTATGGTGTTAAGACGTATTAATGGTGTGTAATAATTCATGATGCTGAGACACTTTTCATGGTGTTTAGACACATTTTATAGCTTAAACACAGATTTTATGATGTGTTTTATGATGTTAGGACATATTTTGGACGTAGTTTATAATGTTTAGACGTTATTTATGGTGTCAGGACATAATTTGTGGACATATTTCATGATGTCAAGACGGTTTTTATGGCGGTGAGACATATTTTATGGCTTTTATGCATATTTTAAGACAAATTTTTTTGTGTTAAGACGTATTTTATGGACTTAAGACTTATTTTTTGGACATATTTTATGATGTCAAGATGTTTCTTATGGTGTTTAGACGTATTTTATAGCTGTAGTACATATTTACAGTGTGTGTGTTTTCTCTACGTGCAGCTCGTCTGAATGAAAACTAAACTAGATTTGTGGTGCAGAAATATTTAATTAAAAACACTACTTCATGTGTTTAGTGGAAGCAGAGCGATGCGTCCCAACACAGTGACGTTCCTTCCTTATGGGGGACCGCGGGCTGCCGTACCGGCCTTTATCTGGAGGCTCCAGGTGGACCGTGACACCTGAGCACACCTGTCCGACGGCCTCATGAGGCCTCGCTGCCTCCTCGGGGTCGTGTTCTCCTGCTTCCTCTCTGATCCACCTGTGATCCACCTGGACGCCTCAATTAGAGCCGGACAGATGAAGGCGGCGGCGTCCCCCCGGGGTCAGCGGTTCCCCCGGCCGGCCCCCGGAGGACACAGAACCCATTGATGCTGGGGGTTCTTTGAAGTCCTGTGGAGATGAAATGAAAGCTGCTGCTGTCTGTCGGCTTCGCTCCGTCGGCTGCAGGTTCAAACAGCGACGAGGAGCTCCAGGCTGAAGGGTTAGAACCTCCAGACCTGCCCCGTTTCATTTAACTAAC